ACTTTTTTAAAACATTTTTTAATTTATTGGGACAAGGCCTTGCTATGTTGCCAAGGCTGGTCTCAAACACTTGGACTCAAACAATCCTCTCGCCTTGGGCTCCCAAAGTGCTGGGATTGCAGGAGTGAGCCACCACAGCCAGCAAACATATGTAAAGGATAATGCAAGGTTCTACTGAGGTTACTTCTAAGCAATTGAAGACATTTATGCAAGTGACTTTAGTCAACTGCTTTTTGAATTTCATCCAGACAGCAGTGAAAAACAGATTCTAGTAGTAGCAGATGTGCACAGGCTGATGCAAAATGCTGTTTTTTTCTTGGAGAGATGAATACATGCAGAGAACAAACACAAAGAATGTGACCCAGCAACCTGAATTCATTCTTTTAACTTTAATTCTAGTAAATTTTTGTTGTCGTTTATTTTAACCCGAGTCTCAGGAAAACTTGGATATTGGATTTTAATAAACTGCTGTGTCTCAGATCCTCTCTTGCTCAAGCTTGTCTGAGAATTTCATCCAATTTTTATTTGAGGGGGTGTTGAAGGCATTTCAGCAAAGCAAACAACTGAATGATATGTCAGCCCAAACCTATGAAATGTTTGTTTTAGAAGCATTTTTGAATATAATAAAGTCTTTCAAAATAACAAAAGTTCAACTAGAAAGACCTTAAAATACATTGAGAAAGAGGGTTCCTTCGTAAGTTGAGAAGACTATGAATGCTTCTGAAGTCCACAAACATATTGGGTACTTCAGTCAAAGTGTTACTCCTAAAGTATGTAAGCACATTAGTCGAAGTGACACTACAAGACAAAAATTTGGCTGGAAAATGAATTCTGTCTTTTCTGTCTTGTGTCAGATCTCTTCAAATTCCAAGCATAAAATCTCTTTGAAGAATAATTGGGGTTAAAGGAGTGTGGGACTCCCTCCCTGAGTTTAGCTGGTACATCTCCTTAAGTCAGGACAACTAGACTGGGCACAATACCTCACGCCTAGATGAGAGAATTGCCTGAGACCACAGGTTTGAGACCAGCCTGGGCAACTTGGCAAGCCCTCATCTCTACAATAAATAAAAAAACTGGATGTGGTGGCACACGCCTATGGTTCCAGCTACTTGGAAGTCTGAGGTGGAAGGATCACCAGAGCCCAGCAGGTCTAGGGTACGGTGGCCATGAGCATGCCACTGCAGCCTAGGCAACTACAAAAAAAAAAAAAAATCAGGACAATTGTAAAAGTGTAGGTACTAATAAAAACCTTCACTTTGACAAGAATAGTGGTTTTTTTCCCCCCTTCTTTTTAGCTAAATATTTTGTTTCATCTCAGTTTAATATTAACTCCTGATTGGTGAGCATACTAGTTTTAGGGTACACTGTCAAAATCTACTTTAATCAAGGACACAGTGTATGCGTGAAATGGGCATACTTTTTGCATTTTGATATCTATTAGTAATCTCAAAGGATGCTTTCTTCACCCAGTGAAATTCTGGGCATGCAGGGGCAGGAGTTATGCCTGTGCCTTCAAGAGTTTTTGGTTCAGTAGTTCTCAAGTCTATGAATCTGACTCATCTATGGTCCTACATCAGTCTTACCATATTTTTAGAGATTATGTGGCTCAGACATTTGCATTTTTTTAAAGTAGTATAGGTGATTCCGATGAACAATCAGTGTTAACAAGAACATTAGATCTTTGTGCGGATTTTTGTATGAAATAGAAACTTCTGTGATAGTTTAATCATAATATGGGAATTGGTAAGATGTCTCTTTGGTTTCTGTAAGTTAGGGATGAGAGTGTAACTACATATGTGAACATGGATGTCTTTCAAGATAAGTCATTTAACACACTTTTATTAAGAACTTTTATTAAGAACTTTCTATCTGCCAAGCACTGTGGTGCACGGTACTAAGGATACAAAAATGATCATAGTCCTTGTACTTGAGGAGAATTTAAATTGGGAAACGTGACATCTTAGTAAGTCCTAGAAACTGTTAACATGTGCTATTGGGAGTGCTCAAAAGAAGTACTGGCTAGTTATAAGGCAGAGTAGAGATTAGGAAGAGCTTCCTAAGAGATCTTTTATTTGATCTGGATAAAATCAATTTTTGCCATATTAGGATGGAGGGGATGAAAAAAATTATACTGCAATGAGTTTGAATAAATGCACAGGTCTGTGAGACACCTGTTTACACAGTATAAATGGCAGGGGTAGGCCTGTATCAAAGATGTGGACAAGGGCCAGTTCTTAGATGGGTTTGCAATCATTTAAAGAATTTGAGCTTTATCATGTAGACAAGCGTATCCCTTGAAATATACTCAGAAGAGTAGTTATATTATCAGGCAGAAACATAATTTTGGCTGCTGTGTGAAGGATGGATATTGAAAAAGTTAAAATTTGGAAAGCAAGTCCATTCAAGTGACTATTGCAATTGTCCTGGTATGAAATGACAAATTAAGGCAAGATTGCCCAAGACTTTAACACTGAGATTATTTTTAACATATATTTAACCTTGTATATCTAAACTATTATTATTGCACAATGTAATTAATATAAAATCATTGAGATATTTAATATTCTTATTATCTACAGAGACAATGTATTTAGTATTATTTTTATACCAAGTATTAAAAATTCTCTGTATATTTTATACTTTTAGCACATCTCAATTCGGACTAACCGAATGTGTTAAAATGACCACATGTAGCTAGTGGCCGTCATATTGGATAATACAGCTCTAGAAAATTTTTAAATGATTTTTTTTTTTTTTGAGTTGGAGTCTCACTCTGTCGCCCAGACTGGAGTGCAGTGGCCGCTCCCGGCCACCGCAGCCTCGACCTGCTGGGCTCCGGTGATCCTTCCGCCTCAGCCTTCCAAGTAGCTGGAATTACAGGCATGCGCTACCACGCCCGGCTGATTTTTGATTTATTATAGAGATGAGGTCTCGCTGCCCAGGCGGGTCTCGAACCCGCGGGCTCAGGCAATCCACTCACTTCAGCCTCCCAAAGGCACGGGATTACAGGCTGAGCCACCGAGCCCAGCTAATTTTTAAAAATTCTATTCAAAATAGATATGCAACATTTCAGCAGCACTTTCATAGATGTATTGACAATTGTTCTTGTTGGAAAAGAGTTAAATAACTTGGGGTTTTACTTGAAATGCCTGAATATATTGTTAATAAGGTATATTGAATATTTATAATATACTATTAATATTGGGACACAAAAATAGAAAAGTTATTTAAAATTGATTAAATTGAATAATGTGACTGTTCTACATGACTGTTACTTTTTACAGTTTCAGGGTGTGAAATAATCCTAAACTTTCCTTCAATTTTTAAGTGGAACCTACAAGAGCATATTCTTTAGGCAAACTGTATAAGAAAGCTTCTGAACTTTAAAGTTATGTAATGACTTAAGACTGATACTGGAGAGTCTTAAGAAATCACAGAAAATTATTAGTATTATAGATTAATAGTAGGTAGCTGTATAAGCCAAATCATCTCGGTTACACTGCTTAATTTTTGAGCTGATATAGTTAAGAAAATTACTTTATATGTTATTTAATATAAATATGTTACTTTATATATTATATATTGCTTTATAGGTAGAGCCCTACTTAAGGTTATTTGAATATTCAAGCTATGATAGTTCAAAAACAAACTGAGCACCATCAATCTAGTACATATTGTTTCTATTTTAATTGAATAGTTTCTCATGGAAAAAATATACATCAACAATAAACATTCATTCATTCACTCACTAAATCAAACATGTTGCATTCCGACTTAATGGGGCATCACTAGTCTAGATATTTGAGATTTATCGATGAATACAACAGAGAAAGATTCTTGGCTTGGTATACCTTTTATTCAAGCAGCTGGAAAAGAGAGAACAATAAACATAATAAATAGTTGATTAGATGGTTTGTTAGAAAGTGGTCCTAAAACAAAAGGGAACAGTAGAACAGATTAGGATATTAAGAGTGCTGGGGAAGGGGAGGATAAAGAAAGGTGGGTTGCGATTTTATTATTTTTTTATTTTTGTCTCTGCAGTTTCCTTTATCAGAGTTTTGTAGTTTTCCTTGTAGAGATCCTTCACCTCCTTGGTTAAATATATTCCTAGTTATTTTAGCTTTTTGGCTGTTATTGTAAATGGAATTGAGTTCTTGATATGATTTTCAGCTTGGTCGTTATTGGTGTATAGCAGTGCTACTGATTTGTGTGTGTTGATTTTGTATCCTAAAACATTACCAAATTCATTTATCCAGACTAGAAATCTTTTATCTCTTGTATAAGATCATGTCATTGGCATACAAACATAGTTTGATTTCTTCTTTTCCAATTTGGATACCCTTTATTTCTTTTTCTTGTCTGATGGCTCTGGCTAGGACTTCCTAGGTTGCAATTTTAAATTTAAAGGTGCCAAATTAAGCTTTATTGATGTAACATCCAAGTAAAGATTCATAAGGGGTGAAAGACTATAATGACTATATAAAGACCTGAAAATATAATTTTGGTTTGCATTCGTTTCACAGGAAAAGGGAGTAGTTGAATCTAGCTACAAGGAATAAAGTGGATTGTACTAAGGTTTGAGGGATAAAAAGTTAGATCAGAAAGTTTCAGCCCTCATGGAGCTTCCTGATGAACTAACAGTCTTGAAAGTGAATTGAAAGTTATAATTTTGTCCTATACTATTTGTTTCTGTTTTGACCTTTTTTCATTTGGTGGGGAAATGACAGGTTGATGATTAGCCCTTGTTTTCTGCATTTGTTCCTCAGAAAATACAGTTAGGTGGTAACCTAGATGACATAATGAAATGAATGAAGACAAGAGGTGACAATGGGTTTTAAGTCGAGGACCATGAGTGATTGGTGAAATGGGAAGGATAAATTTACAAAAGGGCTGATTACTTGGAAGGAAGACTTATAGTATTTCCATTAACCTTCCTTGCTGACAATCACCGAATTCCAGTATCTGAAGCAAGTCTCTCATTATCTCTCTCTGCCTCTCAGGTATGGGAACAGCACAAGGAACTATGCTGTTCGGGTTGGGGATTATCACACTCTGGTGCTGGAAGAGTTTGAAGAAGAAATTGGAGTTCAACAGATTGTGATTCACCGGGACTATCGACCTGACAGCAGTGACTATGACATTGCCCTCGTTCGATTACAAGGGCCAGAAGAGCAATGTGCCAGATTCAGCAGCCATGTTTTACCCGCCTGTTTACCACTCTGGAGAGAGAGGCCACAGAAAACGGCCTCCAATTGTTACATAACAGGATGGGGAGACACAGGTAATATAAATCATATGAAGAAACAAATGAAAGTTGGACATCTTTTTGTGTATGGTTATCCACATATTTGGGTATGCACTAAAGTCTTTAATGTGTTCAGGTTTAGTTGTTAGGAAATTCTGCCAAGTGTGAAGTACTTGCTTATAATCTAGTTTCATATCCTTAGGTGTGTTGGTTCCAGTGACAACTTTTGCACAAACACAGAAACTCAATTACCTGTGGAGCAAAGAGCTTTGTTATTTGATGGTTTGCTTATTTGCAGTGGAGCCTTGCCAGACTAAATGGAGAATTCTTACAGAACAGATCCCCTCTCAGAAAGGCAGAGGGAGGAGGAAGGGGGGGGAGAAAGAACAGGCAGAGCTGCTGAATTTGAAGTTTCTTTTTCACTCTTGCTCTACTTAGGCAAATACAGTTTTCTGTATTGTGTTGCAGTAAAGTTAAATCAATGAACAGTAGCTCGTGCTTGCTGAGGATGGGCCCTTGAAACAACCCCAGGTCTCATCCGTATATTAGGTGCTCAATTTATAAATGACTTTTGAATAAGGAGAATTGATAGGTTGATTGCTCTTCATAACAATTACACTAAGTGTATTTTTGAAATTGTGTCAAACAAATATATTTCTACAGGTGATAGTTTCAATAAGGTTTTATTAATTAAATATAAATACATCTCAGTGTTTTTTTTTTTTTTATCCCATACTACACTAAAACTGGACTTCAGAATTATGCTATGTCATAGAAGCAAAATGTAGAATATCTGTAGCAGATAGAGAATATTAAAAAACCATTAGGACCTAACCTGAGATAAACTGGGGGGAGGAAACATTTCTGAATGATATAATAAAATCAAGTCAGGGTATATGCCTTCCTAGTATCCAATGTTGATCCATGAGGCAAATCAGGAAAAGACTAGTCTACTTATCAGCAAATAGAGTACACTAGCATCAGGAGGTTAAAATTTAAGCCTGTATGTATATAGAGAAGTCTGTGCAATGTTTTATTTCTGAAATACCATGTTCCTATTTAGGTCAGTTGTTGCCACATTATGTGCTTTCTTAAATTCAATGAAGTAGACAAATCCTGTATGAATGAAGGCTAATGCAAGACTAGCATGAATGCATTCGCAGCTTTTTAATGTACAGAATTCAAACACTAAAGCCTGCGCTAATCTGCTTTCTTTAGGTTGCCTTTCTCTATAGCTAAGTCCATAAGTGTTACTCAGTATTCTTCAGCCATTTCAGGATAAGCTTGTGATGGGTGTGTGTCAACATTCAAAGGCAGCTGACATTACATGTCATTTAGTTATCACCCATTTAATTACATGAATGCCACAACAGGGATTTTATTTAAGACTATTAAGTGTGCATTAAACTATTAAATGTTGTGAAGAATAGTTGGAATCCCATTGACTAATTCAGATGTTTGGTCTGGACAGGACGAGCCTACTCAAGAACACTACAACAAGCAGCCATCCCCTTACTTCCTAAGAGGCTTTGTGAAGAACGCTATAAGGGTCGGTTTACAGGGAGAATGCTCTGTGCTGGAAACCTCCGTGAACACAAACGCGTGGACAGCTGCCAGGGAGACAGTGGAGGACCCCTCATGTGTGAACGGCCTGGAGAGAGCTGGGTGGTATATGGGGTGACTTCCTGGGGGTATGGCTGTGGGGTCAAGGATTCTCCTGGTGTTTATACCAAAGTCTCAGCCTTCGTACCTTGGATAAAAAGTGTCACCAAACTGTAATTCTTCTTGGAAACCTCAAGAGAAAATAGTATTTAAAGAAATTGATGGAAAACTTTCAACCTCTAATATCAACACTCAGCCAGAGATGACAACAGGGACTGAGATCCATGTTTTGTGCTTTGTGTTGTTATAGAAATTGTGTACCCTTTGCTGCTTTTGAGAATTTGTGATGTGAATATTTTTGGTTACAGATACCTCAGTGTAGTGTAATACTGATTATCCATACTTAGCATTGTTGTCTGCCCAGATTTCACTAGATAGACTAAGCCTATTATTATTTGAGCCTTATTTATCTCTGCCTATTTCTCAACATTCTAGATTATTCTACACTGATTTCACAATAAGCCTTTTTTTGTTTACATTTGGATTGACAACTCCTTATAATTGAATCAATATGTACACATTCATACCAAGTACCCATATTTGACATAAAATACCCTTTACCATACTCAAGAGTGGTATTATTTTCTATTTATGCTTAAATATTTCAAAAGACAAGAAATCTTTTTATAGGCCTGAATGGGATCATTAAGCTACAAGAACATTTGCTTGTCACAAGACATTCTCAAATTAAGTAATGTTATTTGGAGTCAACCGCTATAGAAACTACGAGAATGTTTTAGTTACTGTGTATAAGCTACTAGCAAAATTAATTTTTCTGGTAACAAAAAATGCTAGTTAGGTATACAACCTAACTTATCCCACATAATAATTCTAATCATTTCTAACTCGTCCACGTTTTCTGGACCATGTGATGGAAGAGTGCCATCTACTGGAACTTTCCTGCAACTGACTTACATCTGTAGATTTCCCAAGACTAACCTGATACAACCTTTAAAACACTAGCAAAAATGCTTTCCTAGCCTATACATTGAAGTTACCCAAAATAACTTCCAGTTTTATGCACCAACCATGGTATATGGCAGGCACTATGTGCAACAATTCGCAAAAAGCCAGGAAGATTTTGTAGTGTATCCCGAGTTTTCAAATGGGAAAGCAGACTTTTGTCAAGATGAGAAAAAGGGGTGCCAGGGGTGGTGAGTGGGTATTTTTTCTTTACTATGGTTCTTACACCTTTGGCTGTTTCTCTAACGGTACAGGGCTAGCTGCTTATTATGCACCTTTATGGCACATCCTTGGTAGTAACACAATGTCTTTGCTCATATATAAAAAGGTACACTCAAATTACTTGAGTAGCACTTCCAGACATGAGAGTTTCTCCAAATATCATGGGCCCCTCCCCAAATCCCTAATATAAAAATAGATTGACAAGGCTGGGTGCAACAGTTTATGCCTGTAATCCCAGCACTTTGGGAGGGTGAGGTAGAAGTATCAGTTGAGACCAGGAGTTGGCGACCAGCCTAGGCAGCAGAAGACCCCCATCTCTAAAAGAAAATAAAATGCCCGTAGTCCTGCCTACTCTGGAAGCTAAAGATCCCTTAAGCCCAGATTGGCTTCAGTGAGCCATTATCTTGCCACTGCACTCCAGCTATCTCTCAAAAAATAAAAAAAACTTAACTGGAGGCTAGCAGGAACCTTAGGATGGTTCTAAATAATCCTCTAAAATGGTTGTCATGAAGGTACTTCACCTTTTCTGCAGTTATGCCTTTTGTAAATCCTGTTTTGTGAAAACTGGTACAAACCTAAAGGTGCTTTATACTTTTACTACTCTGCAAATTTACAACTCTAGTTCAGCAGAATAGCGTTTTGTAAAAGCCCATGAGTTTTTTAAAGCAGCATTTACATTAAAATACAGTGCACGCTTGCACAAGGGCTTGGGAAGAAACGTGCAATATAGGTGAGAAAATATTTTCTTTATTGAAACTTTCTCACATCCTGCCCTTGTAATTAATCTACAGTGCTGGTGCAGACAACTTTTTGTAATTTTTAAGTAGATCTGGGATTGGCAAACCTAAAGGCAGTAAACAGGCAGCCTGCAGTTTGATCAATCCTGAAGTAGAACACACTGTTTATATAACATGCTTTTATCATAGCAAATTTTGTCTTAAGTGTGACTTTTAAAAGATATTAAGTGTTCAGTGCATATTTGTGTAAATAAAGCACATAACTTTTCACCTTGTACAGCTGTCTTAATCTTTTGCGCGGCATAAAAAATCTGTCCGCCCCCTTGTGGGTAACCTGCTAATTTTCAAATTTTTCCCAAATGCTCTATTAACCTTTGAATAGAAATTTGGCTTACATATGAGCACAGTAAAGAGGTGTCCTGTTCACCATTTTGAACTGTCTTTCCACCTATTAATAATTCAGTCAAGAGACACTCACATGGAATCAGCATTTTATTTATCAAGGAATCACCTTAAATAACAATTTAAAAATTCAGTTATGCACTGAAAATAGGTGCCCTGCTACTTTCTAGAACATTATTCCAAACACTCGTTCCCTCAACCAAGATTTAAGTTTAATAATCTACTGCAGAATGCCAATTAAGACTTCATCCATCACTTTGGATTTGATACCTGCAAGAGAAAAAAAAAAAATCAGCCATCACAAAATTTCCATCTGAGTATTTATCTCACCGTTATAAGGTCTCAGTCATTAACTCAGCTGACTATTTCCTCTTTTAAATTACAAAAGGCCAGCATATCAGACCAGCTTTAGCTTTCCAACGTCTTAGCGCTAGGGGTTTCAGATTAATTTGAGAATATGAAAAAGGAAACGTACCTTGTCCTGTTTCCATCACCCATCGGAACGACTTCAGCTTCCTAAAAATATTTTAACAGTATTTTAGAGAAGTCTGTCCCACCATCCAGCACCCTCCAGATTTTTAACAGTGAAGAATGTTACTTGTGCAAGTCAGAATCTGATACCAATTAAATGGTGACAGCTTTGCCAATAAACAAGAATATGCTCTTCCATGGCTAGGAAGGGAGACTGCCACATCTGACAGGTCCCAAAGATACATGGAGATTCACAATGCCGAATTCAGCAAGCAAACTGTTGAAGTTATTACTCACCATCCGGATGAAACTCTGGAGGGTCTCAGGGTGCTGTGACGCAATGGTCAGAGTGGACTCAAGGTGACCTTATGACACCGATGGCGAGACTGACCTTCACCAGTGCACGGAACCTCATGCAAGGGACCGTGGCCCACGCGCACAGGAGTCAGGATCCAGGGCTGCACGTGGCCCTCCCGCGACGTAACTTACACCTAAGTCCCCGCATGCTTGGAAACCTAAAGGTTTTTAAAGCTGATCCCGGGCTACGAATGCAACAAGAATCCTGAATCTTCTGCATTTTAGTCAGTACAGTCAATTTCGACTCAATTACCATTTTAGCTCACAAAACACAACTTGCGCACTTGTACCTAAACCCGACGCTTCCCGGATGTAAAAGGGCGAGGCGGCCTACGCACCCTCACTTATAGAGCTGATGACGCGCTTCCGGGGAAAGCCCCGTGAAGGGCGGTGCCTACACGATTTCTCCGCCCCTCCTAGCCCCGCCACGTCTCCGCCTTTTCCTTTGGCCCCCTCCTTCCTGATAGCGCCTTCCTTCTCTCGACTTCTTTCCCCGCCCCCCCCCATCTTCTCGATCTGAGCCGGTCACTTGGCGACGGATCCGGCCGTGTGCGTACACGTGAGAGCCACAAGTTCTCGCGATATTGTGAAATTCTGATGCTCGGAAGCGCTGGCCCTCGGGAGGGAGCGGAGAGATCGTGTTGTTTCCTGTTTAGGATAGTTATGTTAGAAGTCACTGTTGTTAACGGAATTCGAGGTTGACTGTTCCTCGCTTCTTACCGTTTTGGTAGGTTAATGGATGATATGAATCCACTAGCTGGTTGTTTGGTCTCTTTGCTGCTGAGCTGCTCGTGACCGTCTTCCGCTGGAATTGCTGTTCCGGAGGCTCCGCGTCAAGCGGCTGCTTTCAGACTTATTTTTCCTTTTGCCTAGTCTGGTGGGAGTATTTTCACTCAATACCGGAAGTTTCCTAAACACAACAGTGGGACCCGCCCTGCTGCGGGCTCCGATGAGCGCCCGGAGCCCCGGATGCGGTCGGACCCACGACTCGGGGCCCACCGGCCGCCCTGGACCCCCACCTTTCCCAGTCATGCGTCCCTGGAGGGCGCGACTGGGGCCGTGCAGCGCCACCGCCGTTGCTGGGAGATCTCCAGCGTCTAGGGATCGTTTTAGTCCTAGACGCGTGCTTTAAAAATAGCCGGACGCGGAGGCTCACGCCTGTAATCCCAGCGCTTCGGGAGGCCCGGGAGGGAAGATCGCCTGAGCCCTGGAGTTTGAGACCAGCTTAGTCAGCACAGCGAGATCATGTCTCCACCAAGAATAAAAATAAAAAAAATTAGCCAGGCGTGGTTGCCAGCGCCTGGAGTCCTAGGCACTCGGGAGGCGGAGGCTAAGGGGAAGGATCTCCTGAGCCCAGGAGGTCGGGGCTCCGGTGAAAATAACATTCATTTTTTTTTTTTTTTCCCTCGGATATGAAATAAACCAGGGGAAGCTTTTACGGAGTCCTGGATCAATTGCTGTCGGGGAAGACGGCGTCAAGACGGTGGGGCGAATAAAATGCAGTAGAGAGCCGCAGAAATTTGGGTGAAGTTTCGTGAAGTCCATCCTTTAGGAGAAGGAACTGAATCGCGTCTCTGCTCTTATGGTTAGGTTGGAATGCACAAGCTTATAGGAGACACATTTTGATTCGAGAGAAGGAGAGCTATTCTTGAGCTTACTGTATTTCACCCTATCTTAGTTTCTCTCACCTCTACACACTTCACTCAGTTCTCAGAACTATTCAGTAACAAGGCCTAGGGGCCGCCTCTCAGTAGGGAGTCTTGCAAAGTACTTTTGATTTCAAGTCTCTGATTTGCTCCTCTGTGTTGGTTTGCTTGGGCTCCCATAACAAAATACTACAGACTGGGTGGCTGAAACAATAGAAACTTGCTTGATTCCCGTTCTGTAGGCTGAAAGTCAGATCCAAGTGTCATCAGAGTTTTTCTTTTGAGGCCTCTCTCTGACATGTATGCGACAAGTCTTCTCCTTGTATCTTCGCATCGTTTAACTTTTGTATCTGTCTCTCTCTTCTTAAAAGGGCATACTGGATTAGGACCCACTCAAATGATCTCCTTTAGCTGTAATTGCCTCTCTAAAGACCCCATCTCACAATGCAGTCACATTCGGAGGTACTGGGGGGTTAGGATTTCAACAAATGAGTTTTGGGGAGCTCTTGACACCATCTAGTTATGCCAAGCTGTAAGAAGTCTGAGAGTGTAGATGAATGCTTCCATCGGCTTAAGGGGTTGGAACATCAGTGAACACGAGTGGCAGTGTGTGTGCATGTGTACCCATGTGCACAGGTGTTTCCTGACCTGACTTTTGACTATAACTTTGTGCTTTGTCTGAAACTGGACTTTAAAAATCTGCCCTTTTCTACCCCTATATTTTGTTTATGCTCTTTTCTCCATTTTGAATACCTTCTCATCTATTTTTATTTGCCAGAATTCTACTCTGCTTCCAACACTTTGTTCAAACAATACAGATTCTACAGAAAATCTTCATTGCTTCAACTGAGTTTGATTTTTTACCTTTTTGACATACTGGTAGTATGCTAACTCACATTTTTCTTGTGGTATCTAAACTTGTGGTGAAGGACTTGTCTACTCTCATTTGAAGTGCCCAAAAGAATAATTTGGATTAAATGACCACTCAATTGCATTATAGAACGCTGTGAGTTACTCAGATATATTTCTAAAATTGAAAAAGTTTGATACTGATTTTTAAAAGTCATTTCTCTCCAGGAGGTGAAGTTTAATCCCCCTTCCTGCTCTCAGTACTGACATTAACTTGGGCTGTGCTTAGTAACTTGCTTTTAAAAGGTAGAGTAAGGAAAGGGGAAGAAAGCCTAATTTTGTGGTGAAAAGTGGCAAGTTTTACCTAGTATTGATGACGGGTATTGACATTAGTGATAGGTCATGTTGATAGTGTGTACTCCCACATGATGTGATGAAGACACTTCACTCTGCCAAGATTTTCAGTTATGAATTTTCCTGTTTCTCTATCAGTGCTTATTTGGTACTATGCTTCTCACAGTCAGCTGATGATTTTAATGCACAATTCAACAGATTTTTGCAATGTCTTTGTCAGTTCTGCTTGTTACTGGCTGTCCTGACCTCTCTTCATCAGTGATTCTTTGTCCCCTCAGAAAAACATTTATTACATTTGTACACTGCCATTTTCTTCATGGCATTATCCCCATAAACTTAGACTAACATGTCTCTGACTTCACTTCCTCTCTTGCCAAGTTTAATAAGAGATTTAATGTTTGTTTATTGCTCTAATTCAGGCTCCGACCTTCTCATGGTGGCACACAAAATATGCAACAATGATTAATGAGTGCCACTCAGCAAGGCACTACCACACGTTGACGTGAACCCATCTGCGAGACACTGATATACCAAGGATATGAAACCTTACCGAGTTGTTTGTAAAGGACTGCCAATGTAAGCACATGGTGGCAAGTTCATGAACTTAATTGTCAGACTTTGTAGTTGTGAAAATTACCATGTTATTGGAAGATATTGACGATAGGGGAAATTGGATGAGGAGTGTGTGGAGACTCCCCATACCATTTTTGCAACCTTTCTGTAAATCTAAAATTTTTAAATAAAGTTAATTAGTCATTATATTTTCATTTTAAGACAAAGTGGTACTTTGTGACTGAGATGACAGTATTTCTAAATTTGTGGGAATTTGAGATCTAAGCCAGTGAATTTAGCCACAATTTGACCAAGGATTTGAGCTTTAGGATTGGGAGAGAGAATGTGGTAATAGATAGAAGAATCAAAAATTAATTGTTTAATAAAAGTATATTTAAGGATTTAAAGGTAGAGTGCAAGATGAACCTGTTAGAAGTGATAAAATAATAGCTGGGCAATATTTCAGTTATTTATTTGACACATGGAAAATGCTCATTCTTCAACAATGTTTCTTCCTACTCTTACTTTTTTCCTTTTGTGTGGTTTTAGTATAGAAGCTGGTAATCATGAGAGAAACAAATTTTTTTTTTTTTTGAGTTGGAGTCTCACTCTGTCACCCAGACTGGAGTGCAGTGGCTGCTCCCAGCCACTGCAACCTCGACCTGCTGGGCTCCGTCGGTCCTTCCGCCTCAGCCTTCCAAGTAGCTGGAACTACAGGCGTGCATTACCACGCCCAGCTAATTTTTGATTTATTGTAGAGATGAGGTCTCACCAAGTTGCCCAGGCGGGTCTCGAACCCGCGGGCTCAGGCAATCCACTCACCTCAGCCTCCCAAAGGCATGGGATTACAGGTTGAGCCACCAAGCCCGGCAAGAGAAACAAATTTAACTGTAACTGTACATCTCTCATATGAATGCTGAGATGAATGGGAGATATATATTCAGGAAATTGCCTGTGGACTTATTTTCATCTTAAAACACTCAAGGAACTTAAATTTTCAGTTAATATGTACTAGCAATGTGATACTGCTGCTAAAAAAATTTTTTTTACTTTAGCTGTAATGATAAAAGTATAGTATCCAGAAGAGAGAAGATGAGAGGCCTTATCCCTAGTGGAATATTCTTTTCAGTTCTGAATACGTTTTCAGTTGTTCAAAGATTTGCTAGATTCCAGTAAATGTTTATTGAGCAGACGTGGGCCTTGCCTCAAGACTTGAGAATATAATTGAGTAACTTATTGTTAGTACAATGTTTTCCAAAATATTCAAAGGTCAAAGCAAAGACATTACTTTTGATTTCTCTCCATCCTCTATTTTCAATATTTAGTGTATTTTGTATCAGCCAATGTATTATTTATCTATTGCTGTGTATCAAATTAGCTTAAAGCATAGTGGCTTGAAACAATATGCATTTATTATCTTACATAGTTTTTGTGGGTTAGGAATCTAAGCAGCTTCACCAGCTCAGCGTCTCTCATGTGATTGTAATCAGGATGTTGACTGGGTTTGCAGTCATCTGAAGGCTTGACCTGGGCTGGTGCTGGAGGATCCTCTTTCAAGGTAGCTCACTCACAAATTCGGCAAGTGAATGGTAATTTTTGGCAGAAGGCCTTAGTTATTTAGTATGTGGATCTCTCCATAGGGCTGCTTGAATGTCCTCGTGACACTCATGGCAGCTGGATTTCCCCAGAGTGAGTCACCTGAGAGGAAGCCCCAGTGCTTTTTATGGCCTAGTCTAAAAGGTTACACACCTTCATTTGTTAGAAGTGAGTTATCAATTCCAGCTCATACTCAAGGGAGGGAAATAAAGCTCCATCTCGGGAGGAGTGTAACAATTTGTTGACATATTTTAAAAGTTCATGGTCAAGATGGATGAGGTTGTATTGTAGTTACAAAAGATCCAATGTTTCTGTGACTT